GTGGTGCTGCTACCTGCCTCACAAGTACAATGTCCCGAGTTTGATCCCTGGTACCAAAAAAAAAAAAAAAGGAAGAAAGAAATTAATAAGAGGATAATGTTGTCTTTAAAAAAAAAAAAAGAGGAGAGAAAGTGATTCATTACAGACATCCCAAAAACAAGAGCTTATAATGACATGGAAGCCAAGAAGTAGTTTTCAACAATGCTGACTGCTAAATTAATGTCAGTGATCAAAAAGAACTCTTGAAATTTTTCAGAGATGGTGAGACAGAAACCACATTGCCAGAACCATGGATTTAAGTACTTTAACATAATATACATGTGCACTCATTTGTATTCCTTTTTGTCTACTCTTTCAAAAGTTTGGAAGTGATGGAAAGGAAAACATGGGTTGGCAGGTTGGAAGAGATGGCCAAGTCAGAGGTAGGAAAGGGTCAGTGGATAAGTATCTTGAGTACAACACTGGGCTAAGAGGAAGGATCACAGAAACATGCAAAAGAGTCAGGAATACTGATGGTAACTGAGAAAATAGGAAGAGATTAAGATGCTACAGGTAGGGCCAGGGATTTGGCATGGTGGTTCTGCCGCCTGCTTGCAAGTGGCCAGAGTTCAATCCCTGGTACCACAAAAAAGCAAACAAACAAAAAGATGCTACAGGTAACAATAAGGACAACAAGCACATTCAATGGGGCACATGAAGATGAAAAGAGAATGGAGGTGAGTGGAGAATATGGATATTGGAGAAAGTGGGTAATAAATTTCAATGTATCTAATATATAACAGAAATAATAATGGAAAAGTAAATATCAATTAAATCATGGGCCAGGGATGTAGCTCAGTGGCAACACACCTGCCTAGCAAGCACAAGGTCCTGATTCCCAGTACTGAAGGTTCGATTCCCAGTACGGAAAAAATGTCAATGGAATTAAGAATGTTGTACCCCCAAAAAAGTCATCAGGAAAGAGGGGTGATGAGCAAAGAAATTCATCAAAGGCTGTAGAAAAGAAAACTGGAAATTGAAGGCCAACTGATGTAGAGTGGTCATGGTTATATGACACTGGCCAAATGGTTAAAAATTACAGTGGTGCCTCGGTTCATGAACTTAATTTGTTTTACAATTTTGGAAAAGATGGCCACATTTGAGTTTGTGTGGGAAAGATGGCCATGGCATGTTTGTTACCTGATGCAGAATTTGCAAACAAAAACAAAATTTTGCCAAACACTTCTGTTTGTGAACCAAATTGTTTGCAAACAAAAGTGTTTATGGATCTAGGTACCACTGTAATTGGTAAAACAGTGAGAAGAGCACAAGTGCCAAAAAAGCATAGAATAATGGGGTGCAAGGCTGCAAAAGAGACACATTAATTCTATAAAGGGATGTGTTTATCCCAAATCTGCCAAGGAGGTTTCAAGGAAGAAATCAAAGAGAAAGAGATAGAAGTGATTACTATCCTATTGATCCATCATTATGGAACATAATCTGTCCATGACTGGTAACACATGTACATCTCTTTTGTACTGAATTTAGTTCCATGACATCCTGCACAATGTGGGCAGTTCAAATAAAAGTATTATATTCATAAGCATTTACAAGCCCATGTGATTGCACGATAATTCATACATGTGCATATGAGTTATCAAAGATGGATGTAAGACAAAAAACAAACAAACAAACAAACCAGGCAGGAACATAAGAATGGTAAATTCAAAGCTACCTGCCACAGGCTTACCAGTTTCTTGATAGTTTAAGTTCTAACAGCTAAATGGTAAAGATGTTGTATAGGGAGGTAAGAGGAAAGCAAAAGTAGTCAGTCAGCTGGCTAAGTAAAACCTACACCACACTACAGATTACATGGTCTCTGAAATTCACAAGGCCCTTCTGAGTCTTCCCTTACACAGACAAAAGGACTTATGTGGGAGTCTACAGACTCCCAGTAGGTCAGACTGCAAACACACACAGTTGCCACTGTGAGATAAAATCAGGTCACAGAAAGGCCAATGAAAATAACTTACCAAAGAAGGAAGAACAGGTTTTTAAAAAGAAACAAGCTACAAAAAGATAAATCTGCTAAAAGCAGCTTTGTACATCCTTCTTCACCTGTCTTACACACAGGCAATAAGTGGAAGAAAATGAGTATGTGACCCATAATTGGCATGAATAATATTTATATAAAGCAGCAAACTATATTTCAGTATCCATGTCATCTATATTTCTGTCACCTCTTGCTTCCTGATCTCAGAATAAGTGCTTCATGTTTAACATTGAGGAAGAGATCTCTTCATTCACAGATATGTGTGTAGAACCCTTATTAAGCAATTAACCCAGGTAGGTAAATAAACACCCTGCTGAAGTAAGAAGATTAGCACCAAGAGATGGGACAGAACATGAACATCTTAACAAAAGAGAAAATGAGTGGTCAGGCCTGGTGGTGCATGCCCATAGTCTCAGCACTCAGGAGGCTGGGATGGAGACTGCCACAAATTCAAGGCCAGCCTGGGCTACATAGCAAAACCCTGTCTCAAAAGAAAGAGTTGAATAAAGGTTTGTACTATAGAAAGAAATAAAACAAGAATTTCCTTATAGTAAAAAAGGACACATCATGATGAAGGTGACAATGATTTTGATACCATCTTATTGTAGTCAGGTACATGATAAGCATTTTCACAAGACAGACTGTATAACATGTTATTTGATATTCAGCTTTATGAAACACAGAAGATATATATTATTGTTTCCAGTTAACAAATTAAAAAGGTGAGGCTTTCTTAGAAACGTTGTCCAAGGGCACATAGAGGAGTCCATAATTCTACCATGCTCATGATTCCTTGAATGCCCTCTCTACAAAGAAAAGGCTTATCTAGTCACTGTGTACACATATATGTGTGATACATATGTACACATCTGAATGCTGGGAGCAGTTAGGGAGGTGCAGAGCCAACACTCAGGACAACAAGAGTAAATAATATCAGACTATAGCACCTAAACCTGCCTTTATGCACAGATACTTTCTTACCTTGTATCAAGTTTCTCTGAACAAAACAGTGACATTTTCATGGGGTTTGGGAGCCTGCTGTTGGCTTCCAAAAGCTCTGGTGCCATTCCATCCTGTCACTGTAACAGCTCTCCAGTGAGCCATCAAAAACCCAGCTAGAACATTTTGAATACAGTGGATTGCTTGCCACTAGAACGCTAAATTGCATTATTTTATATTTATCTCTATTTAAATTTTAGTGAGCTGCATAAATGTTAACATGGTCTTATGCTAATATAATCAGAAAGAAGTCTTAAGAACACCACATACTGGCACAGCCTCTGGGTGACTTATGATCTGCTAAGCAGGCCCCAACGCACACTTCTCAGGTCACTTAGTTATTCCCCCTTAACTTGGATGTGATATGAAGACAGTACACAGTTCATCCATGGCAAGGGACAGGTATGATAGCCTGTTCATACTTAAGGTAGAAAATATTTAATAAGTCAAAGATTTCCAAAAAGGATCTGGACAGAGAAAGGTTATGTTTGATTCATTTCTGGCTTAAGAAGCAAAAAGCAGGCCTTAGTAAGTTCTCCAATATCTGAAGTTTATGGGAATAAGATTCTGGACTTCCCTACAGCCGCAACTGCACCTACCAATGACAAACTTGCAGATTCTCCACCTTTCCAGTCACTGCATTCATTTCCCTGGACTTCCTGGGAAGTGCCAGGATGTGAGACCAAAGAAGACGGGAGTCTCCCTGGAGGCCAGTGCTCGACATCCATAATACAACCTCAAGACAACTAGGGCCTAAAGATCAAGGCAGCCAGGGATAAGGAAAAACAAATGCCTACACTGCTCTCAGCCTCTCCTCACAGAACAAATCTTTTGGCCTTCCTAGCTCTGCCATTTATTTTATTATGAAAAGATGCTGAACTCTTTCAGCCTGAGGAGGCATCAGACTGAGATTCTGACTAAAGATAAGCATGGATAAAAGGCAAAGAGAATCTTTTCCAAACAAAGCCTACCATGGTAAACATGTTCAAAATAGGCTTTCTCCTGCAGCACAGCAACCTCCACATCTTGGTAAGGCAACCCTTATAGTCACCCCAATTCTCTTGCAGCAAGAATCAGAATTTTTTTTTCAGTTTTAAAGGTAAAAATGATATTAGGGCAGATTTTGAAACATGTGAGGAATGACAGCATTCCAATGGACTAATGGCAGCAGGCAGATGTCCTGACCTTTTAAAGATGAGCATAATGAAGGGCAGGGGATTTAGCTCAGCTGGTTCGGTGGCCTGCCTCACAAGCACAAGGACCTGAGTTCAATCCCCGGTACCACAAAAAAAAAAATGTATTTGAGGAAAGAAAGATGAGCATAATGATGTGATGCCAACACATCTTTCTGCATCACTCTTTCAAGTTGCTGGCTCCCAATTCCTTTTGCCTGCTCAGTTTTCTAGTATAATCCAAGTCAAATGAAATTCTAAAGACCTCCCAACCCAAAGAGTACAATGACCTGACTGCATGTTGATTGGTTCCAGACAACTAGGAGAAGACACATTCCCCTCCAGAGATTCCTGGTCAGGTTCGTCATTTATTCATTACTAGATGTAGATTTATGCCAAAAGGGTCAACACTTGGAGTTTATTCTCCTCACTTACTACAATCTGTGGCTGGTCTAACTTTGTATTGCTTTTTACTAAAACAGGAAATATGACCTAAGATCTGTTATTAAATACATACATGCACATGCATACACACGTATACATACATACACATACGCATATATACATATGTGTACATATATAAATATATATGTGCATACATATAAGAAGAGCACAGAAAGCATGGATGGTGATAACATGGGTGAAAATTCCTAACTACCTGGAATAAACACGGAATTAAATTCTAGTTTCACTAGTCTTACATTGAAATTTGATATGTGCACAAGTGCAAATGTACCTTCTTCAAACCAATTTGGCCATCCTATCTGGCCAGTGGGACACACATCTATGCAGCTCACCTGGAAAAGGCAGCCCCCAGCACAAATGCAGCATACTCCTTCACAAGGGGCTCTGTGCTGTTCAGTCCATTGATTACCACTTGAAGGCCACCGAAAGACAGCAGGTCCTGTGCATTATCCATCTGCAACAAAGGTATTGCTTAGCACAGGTCACCCATCAAGGAAGGAAAAGCTCTTCTGACTTTCTTTTGATGACTACCAAAAAACAAGTTTAGAGCCAAGGAGAAAGCAACAATGGCCTTTCTGACTAACTAGGAAAGGGTATGTAAAAAACAAACTAAATTTTAAATAATCTTAAATGTGAGAACTCTAATTCATGTAACACACTTAAAAGTACCTGCGTGGGAACTAGCGGAAATGGCACCTAGCTATTGCTCATGCCAAATATGTCTTGGAAAATTCTAATACCATAATGAGTCACAAAGCTTACTCCAAACATACAAGCTGTTAACACAAAGAATCTGGCGTCATGAGCACCATTAAATGGTGCCATGCTTCCTGTTGATGTCCAATCCCAATGGGGGCGGTGGAGGCAACAAACATTTTTTTTTACAAAAGCTGATTTTTAATTAGAAGCCAGGGACTATAAAAGAAGCCCTGTTAATGAGGAGGCAGAGGTGGGGGAGGGAGTGATACAAGAGTGCTAGGAGAGAAATAACAATAGTACCCTTCTTTTCTAAGGTTGACTGAATCTAAGGACATTCATGATAAAATCTGTACAAGTCATTCTCACAAAGGCTTTAGTCTAGGCCTGGGCTACTAGCTAGTGACTATACATTGGACAGTACATAGTATTTCTATCACTATGTAACTGTAATAAGCTGAATGACTTTAATATACTTAAACAATGAACCCGAGATTGTAAAAAGATTTTATTAAAATGAAATCAGTACTAAATTACTATACTGACTTATCATACATCTCTAGTTTGACCTGTAATGGACATGGTGATTTTTGTGGCATTTAGATTATTTTAAAACTAGTATTAAATTACCATTTTAATAATTAACTTACTAAAGCCTATATTTATATGTGAAAAAGTCAAAATCTGCCTCTCCCCCCTCTTCTACCCCTCAAAGGCTATCTCTTGCCCACAAGCTGATCCCAATCTACAAATCATCAGGAAAATTGAGGAAGTAAGGGCCCAAGAAGGTGATGGCTACCTCTTTTTCTTTCAGATTCTACAAAGCTATTTCTTATCTGTGTCCTTACCTCTACCTCCAAACTTAAAGTGGGTTCTGACAGAGAAATCAAGTGTGAAGCACAGTATCTGAATCTGCCCATGTTTTTGGGTGGGCTTTTACCACTCAGATAATTTTTATACTTTTTTTGGAGATACTGTCTTGCTACGTAGTTCAGGGTAGTCTTGAATGCACTGTGATCCTCTTTTCTTCAGCCTTGTGAGTGCTGAAACTACAGACATGTACCACTACACCTGGCTCGATTTTATACATTTTTTTGAATTTATTGGTACATTTTAGTTATACAGTACAGTTACATTCATCATTGGGACCTTGTACCTTTACATGACAGGTCTTGGTTCTCATTTTTCCCCCTTACCCCTCATTTTTATACATTTTGATAGAATCTCCACAACAGAAATTTTAGTCTGTTCATCCACTGTTGTAGCTTCTATGACTAGAACAACTATGAGTAGAATAGTGTGGAGCATATAGTTAGGTGCTCAATAAATGATTACTGAATCAAAGAATATGAATATGATCAGGAAAAAAGTTACTGAAATAAAACTCTACTGTGAACATAAAAAAGCAATCTGATGTTTATTTGTGCCAACAAAGTGAGTGGCCCTTGCTACCTCCAAACTGGAAATAATTGTTTAAAAAAGGCCAATTCAAGCTGTAATGAGCAAGAAGGCTGACCTGCCAGAGCTAGGAGTTTCCTGCCCCAATCCATCCTTACAAAGAACAAGGAACACTGAGGTACAGCCTAGCTAACTAGGAAGATGCACAAGTGGATTGTTTTGCCAACATAAACACCAGCCTTCCTTACATGCTCTGATTTTAAAATAAATGAATCTACTGATGTCTATCCTTTGATCTTCTCTGTTCTAGGATTTCTAAATACAAAACCATGGCTCAGAATCCTGTTATCTCAGGATGCCCATATCAAAGCTGGTATGAGTTCCAGGTAGAGCAGCTGCCACTCTGTTAGCCCAAAGCAACACAGCTCAGAGTCACAGAAGTTCCATTCTAGACTCAGTTCATCTATGTTCCTACAATAAGTCAGTATCATAGAAACGCTGACGTTTATTTATATAATGTTAGCCATTTCAGGTGTTCTCTCATTTTTCATTTCACTGATAGTGAAGAAAAGAAGCCATTCTGCCTACACACACCAAAAGCTGGGCCCTCCTCAGCATCAGACAGAAAACGCATGACCAGGACCCAGGTGCACAGCTCTTCATTTGGGTCTGCCGACAGACTTTTCTCAGTGCTGGAGTGGCACAGATGAAAAGTAGAATGGATAGTACATTAGGAAAGGAAGAAAGGGAACTATGCCAGATATTTCCTTCCTTCAGGAGGAAAAGAAAGAATCAGAACACTGACAAGACAAGGAATGAACAGGAAATAGAGAAAGGGAGCAATAAGGGTAAATAATTAAGGGATCACACAAGGGAAGGCATATATACTGCCCCAGGGTAGATGAGGCAGACAGAAGCTGTTTCTCATAAATAACTCATGAAGTGTTTTCCACACACAAGGTTTTGCTTTTCAAATATCCAATTTTAATAATTCAAATATGGCCATAAGGAATCCTTGGGCAGACCTAGTTCATGTCCTTGAAGCCCACAGTTCCTTAAATTTCCATTCAGTGAAACTGGGAATGGGAATGGACTGAGAAGTTCCTGGCTAGAAAAATTCTAACTTCCTTAAAGTTGACACTCATCACTCTAACTTCCCATCAGAACTAGAAATCAGGGCTAAGCTGTGTCTTCTACAATCTCCTGGTGAAATAGTCATTTAACATTGTTACATGGCAGCCTAACAGGTTAGCCTAAGCCAGGCCCTTAGACTTCTAATCAAAATTGCAGTGACCTGGATATTCATGACCCTTCGCCAAAAGAGCAAGCTTGGCCTGGACCAGTGGAATGGTTCCTATGATAACCTTTGGTTGAGTCTGGTAATATCCAGAAATGATTTACCTTTCCAAGTGACCTGTGAAAGTATAATGGAATGTCACCTGAGGGATGACACTGCCAGGTGACCAAAGGACCTGTAGGGGGTGGAGAGAAAATGCTAGTCCAAGCTTTCTATGTACTCTTTCTCTTCTATGTAAGCTAAGCTCTCTCTCTAGTCACTTTGGCCTTTCATGTGCAACTAATGCAAGAGCCTATAGAAACCTGACAACTAAAGGTCCATCAAAGTTTGTTAAGATGAAAAAATAAGTAAATAAAAGCTTTCAGCATCAGAGCAAGACTGAGTGGGCCAATAACCCCTAGGATCCTTAATACTTTTAATATCTCTAACAGAAAAACTGCTGGGAGTTTCTGTTGCGGAAAGAGAACCCAGATTTGTTTTTTTCTCTAAGAAGATCACAGTCATGCTATATGAGACCTGAGAAAAAGTTATAAGCAAAGAAAGAAGATGAAGAGGCTGCTCCATGATTCCTGCAGATACAGTGCACACTCAACTTCTTTCACCACAGAAGCTAACAAATCCTAAATAAAGAAAAAATGTCTTTTAGTCAGTTTATAGAGAACAAGGACACTATCATGTGTGGGAGGACACTGAGGATCTGTGCCTGAATGAGAATCTCAAACAAGCCTTTGATTGTGAAGACACAGATTTCTGGGCCACCATCATCCCTACGCTGTATTACCACAAGAACCTCCTACCTGGCTCTGCTTCTACCTGTGCCCCCCACCTCCAGCCTCATTTTCAGCATAGCAGGTGGAGAGGTCCTTTAAAAAAGCGAGTCAGACGCTGTCATTGTGCTGCTCAGTATCCTTCAATCTCACTCCTTTCCATTGTCTATGAGGCCTCCACATTCTTCCATTAGCTCTGAGCTCCATCTGCTTCTCCTTTCCTTTATCTCAGCTCCACACCTCCTTGTGGTTTCTCAAACAGCAATGTGTGCTCCCCACTCAGGACTTTTGTTCTTGCTGTGCTGCCTGCTTGAGATTCTCCTTTTCAACACTATTAATTCCTATCCTGCTTTCCTTTTTACTTCTCTGTAATACTTATCACATACTGTTTATAATTTACTTATTTGGTATGTCTGTCTCCCTCCCTCTACTAAAAAGACAACTCCAGTCTTGCTCACAGATGGATCTCTAGTGCTCCAAACACTGCCTGGGCTTAGCAGGCACTCAAAAAATTCATTTGAGACCCTATCTCAAAACAAAGAAAAAAAATGAGAAGCAAGACCTGTCCTGTAAAGGTACAAGATCCCAACCATGAATGTAACTGTATTGTAGATGTAAAATGTACCAATAAACTCAATGAGAGGAAAAAAAAAAGAAAACATGTTCTTTATAAACAGTGGAGTATTACTATGCCATAAAGAATGATTAGCTTGAGTTATTTGCAGAAAAATAATGACTTGAGACCACAATGTTAAGTGAAATAAGACTGATAAGCTTAAATATTACATAGCTTATCTATATGAAAACTCAAAGTATAAATTATTTTTAAAATAAATTATAAACTATAAGAAACAAGGAGATGGATCTCTTGCAAATGGAAAGGGAATCTACAGAAGAGAGGAGGAAGGGAGGAAAAGGGGAATAAAAAAATTAAGATATGTTAAGTACGTATACCTTCTCCTTAAGATAAATGAAATTATTATGTACTGCAATCGTGGACTAATAAAAAATTTTAAAAAGAAGACATGTATAAGAAAAATAAAGCCATTATTTATATCCTGTAAAAAAAAAACAAAGAACAAAAATGCAATTAACAGTAGTGCCTACTCATTAAGTCAGCTGTAGAAGTCAACAAATTAATATATACAAAGCAGCCAGGCATGGTGGTGCACCCTTTAATCCCAGGACTTGAGAGGCTGAGGTAGGAGGAATGCTATTCATTCAAGGCCAGCCTGGGACACACAGTGAGTTCCAGGTCAGGCTGACTACACAGAAAGACCTTGTCTCAAAACAAAGTTCACTATCTCTCTCTCTCTCTCTCTCT